GGGGGGGGGGGGGGGGGGGGAAGGTAGCTTCACAAGTCAACATTTTTCAAGGATAGTATGAAGTTTTAGAAGTATTGACTTTTGAAGTACCCTCCCCTGCCCCCCAGGGGATTTGGCTGGATAGTTCGATTCAACCGAAAAACAAAACACCTTTCATCTAGAGGGGTATGAACATTTTTTGAAACAACAAACATTGTAACAATCCACATTTGCAGGTCAAAAGGATACTTATTGCATGAGCGGCGTCCTCAGAAGTCTCAAACAAAACTGTACCACAGCCCTTGGATCTTCCACTGGATTCTGTCATAATGTCCGCACGAACCACTCTTCCTGTGTTCAACAAAAAGCCCAGTATATACATTAACAGAGTGTTCAGATTTGAGTGTCCAAAAGCCAAAACCAGCCTCAAAGGGAAATCACAACAAACAGAAACAACACAATTAACAACCATTCAGCTCTAATCTAACAGTGGGAAGATGTGTGACACTCAAGGGAACTCCCATCTAAAAGATTGGGGATGCTCATTGTCTCACTTACGAGTGTAAAATCACAGATTTTCGTCTCACTTAGGGTTTTCAGGATGAAATGCCACTATTTTTAGACATCAAGGTATCTGTTAGGGTTGCTCTCATAGAGATAACCAAAAATACTGTCATGTGCATTATGAAGGTTATCCTTTAGAGGTAAAATAAAGCTTGAACCATGTCCAGATTGGTCCAAATCCCCCCTTTCTTTCTTAACTCATCTTCATTTCAAGCCCCTGTTATGAGTATTGCTACATCCACCACAGTGATGAACAGCTGTTAGCAGTTCTTGACAGAGTTTTTAAATAATATTTTCCTTTGAGTAAAAAACTGCAATTACCTGCTCCTTTGAACTTGTCCTTTAAGTCTTGCCAGGTGTACCGCCAAGGAAGCTGTGGATATAGAATCAATCCCAAATTTTTATTGCTAAATTGCTCACTTATGTAACATACCGGTATTTGCTAAAATTTGGTTCTACAGTGAAACCCATATCAAGCGGCCACCTATCAAACGGTCACCCCTATTAGGCGGCCAGTAATCAAAGTCCTGATGAGAGCTTTTCTATTGCTTTTACCTATATTAAGTGGCCAGCCCCCCTTTAGTGGCCACTATCCATTTCCCCAAGAGTGGCCATTTAATAGGGGTTGAACTGTACTTTTTATTTGAGCTGTTTAATTGTATGCTTAATCAAAAGATGGACAGATTAAATACTACATTATAATTCCAAGAAGGTTAGAAGATAGCCTGACTTGTAAAAAAGTACACACCAAAAGCATTGTCTCGAAAAGCAAATCAAAACTTAGAAGTACCGGTACATTCAAATTTACATTTTGACAATCACTTGACAATAAACAAATAATGAAATTCCCTTTCTTTTCCACACTTTGTTATGTTGTAGAACTCATGACATCACAGAAATCTTTAATAATAAATTGCAGGCACAAACTTAATACAACTTACATTCCTCACAAACACCTGCCTTCCCGAGGTTCCGCCGTCACTATGGTGTGATGAACCGAGCCCACCAATCCCACTACTGCCCCCACCTCCTCCGCCACCGAGCCCAAGAGTGTTCCCTAGCATCCCCAATCCACCAAGTGCAGCCAGAGGATTAGCGCCAGAGGTGTCCGGCATACCAGCAGCACCACCTCCAGCAATGTTGCCCATACCCCCACCAGGAGTCAGACCACCGCCGTTACCACTCAATGCACCAAGATTGCTGGTCAACTGAGCAAGTGTACTGAGCCCTTGGAGACTCTGAAACAGTTGAAGGACAGCCATGGGGTTCATGTGACCTCCTGCTCGGCCCATGGTTGTGTTGTTCATGCCCACATTGCCTAATTGCTGCATGATGGGTGCATTGCGATCCTTGAAAAAACAGAAAGACGATGACACACGCTGACATACATGAGATAATTCTTGCTTCGAAGACATGATCATTGCCATTATATAGTTACACAACTTAAGCAGTCATGAAATAAAAGCTGCCCTGAAAAAAATTCAGGCCTGAACGGGATTCGAACCCATGACCTCTGCGATACAGATGCAGTGCTCTACCATCTGAGCTATCAAGCCAACTGGGAGCTGATCATGTTGTGAGTTTGTAATATATCTGTAGATGGTTAAGAATGCAAGTGACTATATGAAAGGCCATACCTTTGAACTGCAGTTCAAATATATGGTCTTTCATATATTCACTTAATGGATAATTCTTGCCAATACGCCACTTTAGAAACAAGAAGAAATTTGTCTAAGTTGGGATCATTGCAATGATTATGGCTTCTCATCTTCAGTTTTGTCCCCATAACACTCTCACAAGCAACTGCAAGATGAGAATCAGCTTAGATTTTGTTGCATTCCTGAAGTGATGAATGTCACATAGGTTGTTTTTTGTCACAAAAAGTGGTTGTGCAGTGCAATGGATGCAAGAAATAGGAAAAAATGGAGAACATGTAATCACATTTGTAAGACTGCCAGTTTAGACACCATGCCAGTAATGTTAAAGTGCATGATTTTACAGTGGTCTGCATGTTTGAAAAAGTTGCAGGGCAAAGCTTGTCATTGGGCATGTTTATATAATTGACATAAAGATCTTCTTAATTAACTATGTACCATTAAAACCTAATCTAACATTGAAAAAATTCGCATTTTGACATCAAAAATCTCAGTGTAGGAGAACATACCAGTCTGACGCTCATAGCCCTGTCACTGAGAATCTGGCCATGAAACATAGCTGCCTTAAATTAAGGAGATTTAACTTGTAACAACCAAGACCTTATCCCTACAACCACCTAAAAATTTAAATTTGTGATACTGTTTAAATGCATGGGGGCATATCCCAGGGGGAGTAAGGATGACATGGCAGCATATCCCAAGGGGAGTNGTCAACTGAGCAAGTGTACTGAGCCCTTGGAGACTCTGAAACAGTTGAAGGACAGCCATGGGGTTCATGTTACCTCCTGCTCGGCCCATGGATGTGTTGTTCATGCCCACATTGCCTAACTGCTGCATGATGGGTGCGTTGCGGTCCTTGAAAAAACAGAAAGACGATGACACACACTGACATGCAAGAGATAATTCTTGCCATGAAGACATGATCATTGCAGTTATATTACACAACTTAAGCAGTTGTGAAATTAAAGCCTGAAAAAAATTCAGGCCTGAATGGGATTCAAACCCATGACCTCTGCGATACTGGTGCCGTGCTCTACTAACTGAGCTATCACGCCAACTGGGAGCTGATCATGTTGTGAGTTCATGATATACCCATAGATGGTGAAGAATGCAAGTGAATATACATTGTATGAAAGACCATACATTTGAACTGCAGTTCAAATATATGGTCTTTCATATATTCACTTGCATAATTCTTGCCAATATGCCACTTAAAAAGAAACAAGAAATTTGTCTAAGTTGGGATCATTGCAATACTTATGGCTTCTCATCTTTAGTTTTGTCCCCATAACACTCTCACAAGCAACTGCAAGATGAGACTCAGCTTGGATTTTGTCGCATTCCTGAAGTGATGTCACATACAGTAGGTTGTTTTTTGTCATAAAAAGTGGTTGTGCAGTGCAATGGATGCAAGAAATAGGAAAAAATGGAGAGCATGTAATCAAATTTGTAAGACTGCCAGTTTAGACACCATGCCAGTAATGTTTAAGTGCATGATTTTACAGCGGTCTGCCAGTTTGAAAAAGCTGCATGGCAAAGCTTGTCATTGGGCACCTTTATATAGTTTACATAAAGATCTTCTTAATTAACTATGTACCATTAAAACCTAATCTAACTATGAAAAAAATCACATTTTGACATCAAAGATCTCAGCGTAGGAGAACATACCAGTCTGACACTCATAGCCCTGTCACTGAGAATCTGGCCATGAAACATAGCTGCATTAAATTAAGGAGATTTAACTTGCAACAACCAAGACCTTATCCCTACAACCACCTAAAAATTTAAATTTGTGATACTGTTTAAATGCATGGGGGCATATCCCAGGGGGAGTAAGGATGACATGGCAGCATATCCCAAGGGGAGTAAATATGACGAGGCAGTAAAAGTGGTCATCTCATCTCAAAGTGATCATCTCCCAGGTTTGAACCACTGTGATTCAGTTATTGAGTAAGGTCTGTACAGTATCTGTACATCATAGGTGCTCAAATCAAAGAGTTTTAGTTAGAGATCATCCACTGGACATTTTTTCGGAATGAAACAAGCCAAATGTCTAATAGTTAACTGGCAGCTCTAAGGAAGGGCAAGGCGGCAGATGAAAGACTTCAAATATGTACTATTTACTCTCAATGATTTCTTGTTGTAAGACGATACTAGCCAAGAAAGTTGATGTATACAATTCCGCCACAGGTTTCAAACAATCACACACTAGAATAATGTTTCAACAGGAAAGGATACAGACTGCATTAATGGCCTCTGTTGCTGTTTCAAATTGTACAGTGCCAAATCCTTTGGATTTATTGTCAGAGTCCAGATTGATATCTGCACGAATAACATTCCCTGCAAAACATCACATAAGATTAAAATAACACATTAAAACTAAAAGATATGGAAGATAAAGAGGAGCTTTAACAGAAGATCAAGTCCTTACCAGCTCCTCTGAATGTGTCTTTAAGTTTCTGCCAAGTTACATTGTAGTCAAGCTTTTGAAAAAAAAACATAACAAAATAATAATGGAACAACTGCAGCTATCTGAGGCATATCAGCTGTACATAAAAATGTTTGTTTTATGGCAAGATACATGTAGTCTTGAGGTAAATTCAAGCATTCTTTTTGGTTCTTTTTTGGTTGGGATTTTGCCATACAGACCACTTCCATGGAAATGGCCATAAGCCATTATTTTTTTGGTTTTTGAAAGCATGGCCTGCCTACCAAATGATAACCTACTTACTAATCAGGCTTGCTTGAGTCTTACTGGGGTTTACTGGACCTGGGTCATTTTTACAAGTATGTGCGTGTACATTTGTATCTTGTTGTGCTCAGTAAGTAAGATGTTAATATTAAACATATCCGTTATTATATGTTTAGAAAACAGTCCTAAGAAAATACGCATGCTGATTGGTTAAAAATCCTGCTTCTATAACTCGATAGAAACACAGAACTAGCACGAGCTGTTGACGTAATGATGGTGCGAGCAAAGAGAATTTACATGTACACTTTGATAATCAAAGTTAACAAGTTGTTTTCTTTTTTTGTCGTGGTGTTTTGTAAAAGAAATTGAAAACATGTTCCCCATGTTTCTATCGACATATAGAAACACTCGTGAAAGTTTGGGAGAACTCGAAAAAGCTGCATTTCTCATTCTCCCAAACTTCCACTCATGTTTCTGTAACTCGATAGAAGCATGGTACATGTTTTCTATTTCTTAAATAACTGTTACATTATAGTATACTAAAATTATAGCTACTATTATTAATAACCTTAGTATGAATTACAGATGTCAACTATAATTTATTAAGTAAATATTATTAAATTAGAAATGTTGACTATGACTGATCTGGTTTTGATTTTTTAAGTTGAAAAGACAACATGGATGAAGGAAAAGACTTAAAACAAAATTTAGACTTTTTAAATTTATTTAAAACTTACATTGCTGACAAACACTGTGCAAGACAAGGCATCAGTTCGGTAATTGATTCCCTGAGCAGCTGAAAGGTTTCCCAAGCCTAGGAGTCCACCAAGGTTTCCCAGAGGCCCAGTTCCACCCCCCAGGCCAAGATTTCCACTCCCAAGTCCACTTCCAAAAGTGTTGCCGAGTGACATGCTCCCTCCAGTAAGAGACGGAAGGTCTGATCCTTTAGAAGAAGGCCTGCTACGTCTGTCACTTTCTTCAAAACTATCCTACAAGAAAATCAAAAATCATAGCAGAGATTGTATCTTTTTGGTACAACAAAATAAGACATCATCTACATTGCCAGGCAGGAATTTCAGTCAGTTTTTTAAGTGCATTGAACAGTATTTTTCTGGGAATTTCAAAAGGAAATTGTGGACTGTGTTTTGATGGTAATGCCTTTGTAAACATATTTCTTCAATCTTGGCTGGTATGCCCCATCAGGAAATTCTGTTACCATTTGTTCACTTCTTCCATTCAACTCTCATTTATACAATTGCCTTGTGCAAATGCTTATCTTACAGTGAGGCAATTAATTTGCAGGCACCTTTCTACAGTGTAGGGAAAACCACAATGAGAATTAACCCACCTTTTTATCCAATCAGAAGTAAGACCATTTGACACCAATTGTGACTTTTTCACACATTTTCTAGTGCTTGATGTCAGCTACACTTATTTACCTTAAGTTTTGATTGGTTCATTGGAGCAAGAGAGATAACTTTGGTTTTGGTTTCTACAACACTCAACTGAAAACTGTTCTATACCAACAAGCAAACATGCACATACATGTACACCTGTACCGGTGCTGCATTGCACATCTATAGGTAAAAATAGTTGACCAACCTCTCGTATGTGGATCGTTCTCCCTTTGAATTCAGTACCATGAAGTTCTTTAATTGCTTTCTCTGCATCTTCTCTATGCCGGAATTGAACAACACTTTGGAAAAAAAAAAACAACAACATTATAATTGTATTTTATCTCAAGGACTGAACTGTCATCTATTTCATGATATATTTAACTCTGGTAAATTTATCACACTTCATCATAACCAGAATTTCCAGTTCAATACAATGGATAATGTATTGACCAGGATGGAAGTTCAGAAGTGAGCATATTCAAGTAAAGGATCTGCATTTTAAAATTATCCAGAATAAAACTACTAATATCTAAAATATTTTCTTGACATACATGTATTATTCAGAAATATTTTTCACTTTCCTGAGTAACTTTAATAATTTGTACAGAAGGTGTGCACATACCCGCATCCCTATAAAGAAACAAAAAAACATTAAAATATATTTTACATTATACTGTCATGTAGATTGTCAACACAGAGGCATGCTTAGATAAAAAGAATATGAGAATGTGACCACGTTTGCAGGGAAAATTCATAGCTTGTTAGTTGTTAAGTCATTGTTAGATAGACTGAAATAATTCCAGTCACTTCCAGCCATAAAAACTGGAGATAAGTATTAGCCTGATGGACCACTAGACTCAAATGTAGATGCTACTGTACACTGTACTTCTTCATGCTGATAAATGTACCTTTGATTTTCCTCGACTGTCTACTATGATGTCGACAAATCCCACTTCACCTGCTGTAAGAAAAAATATCAACAACACAACTTAAATTTCCAAGAGTGCAATACAATGGCAAACAAACAGGTAATAGGAATTCTATTCTGACGACATTGCATTTCATATATCTGACTGGCTGTCAGACACATGAAAAGGAATCTACACTAAATGGCTGGCTGAAGTGTTGCAGATATTGACATCACTTGCTTGGATTTGGTCAGCTTCAGTCTTCCACACTTCTCTCTTGAAGGATGAAACAACACTAAGCACACAGTAAGATTACAGATGCCTAATTTCTTATACAGAAAACTGCCTGCCCGGTGGTTGCTTCAACAGTAACACTGACAAGTATTTATTTAATTTTTCTGAAAGTGGCGGTTTTCCAAGCTTTTCTTAAATAGTCTTTAAAGAAGGTTAACAGTGTGTTGCATTAGATACATAATTTATTTACACCAGTACCCATCAAGCATACAAGATTTCAACAAACAACAGGAGACTTCTCTAAACAAAATACTTCAATCAAACAATTAGTTCTTTAAAGCTTATAAAAGGCAGCTTTTTTAAAAGCAGAAGTTCTGCAAAATTCACCAAAATAAGCTTCCACAGATTTAAGTTACCCCGCTATGATGTGTAACATGCAAATTATTTGGGACAATACAACTGAATGTAGAGCTTAAAAGCTTATAAATTTAAATTACGTACATGTAAAGTAGCTACGCTTTGCGGCAACGTCAATTTCCCTCGAATGGCGTGAAAATAGCAAAAAAGTAACAATACCTTTCTTCATGTAGTCCTTTAAATCCTGCCATCTTACTTGGTATGGAAGATTCCAAACGTAAACACGGCATTCTTTACCTCCGCTACCAGATTGTCCTCTCGAACTTGACCTCTCGTCTTGTGAAGGGTATGGAGCGAAGCGTCGACTTTCGCGTCTCAGATCCCGCTCGTATCCACCACCTCTTCTCCGCTGATCTCTATCGTCGTGATCGCTTTCCCTGCTTCCTTCTCTCTCATTTCTCGAGTCGTGATCAACGGGAGAATCATCGCGTCGGCCAGAGTACAATGCCTCCTCATGGTCCGCCATATTTCCTTGTCTCTAGAGCTTGCCTGTGTAACCGCGCTTTCTGTGCAATTTTAACTTATCTCTAGGGTAGCGTAGTTGAGTTGTTGAAAATAATTTTATAAAAAGCCGAAAGGCAACATTTTTTTTTCATTTACTTATTAAATAGAAAGTACAAGGATCCAAATTTTTTCGAAGTCAGTTATTTCAGGCTCTTTTTGCGTAGAAAGAATCTAAGATATCAGAATGTTTTTTTTTTTAAATTAATCCATTTTGTATTATGGGTGGGGAGGGACGATTTGTGTTTTCCGCGTGACCTACTGCGGGCTCAACCTTCTGATAGTCGCCTTGCAAAACCGAAGGAGAACGAAACAGCCTTTTATTTTGAGGGTTCTAAGACGGCTTGATTTCTTTCTTTCTGATCATGACTTGATCTGCTAAGAAATCTTCTACACGATGTCTGCGAAAGGGTTCGTTATCATGATTCTTTGTAGTGAGATTTTTTGTTATTCTAACTTAGAAGCGATGTCGAAATATTCGAGCTTCTAAAAAAATAGCTTAATTAATAATCTTCTTCTGGCGGAAACTTACGCTGGTTTCTTTCTCTACAAGGAGTGAGCTCCGAAAGTTAAGCGAAGAAAGCTTGACAAGACCCCCAGAAGAAGTGTTTGATGTCCTTGAAAAACTTGGAGAAGGGTAAGCTTGTCGCAACTTATCCGCTTACATGATGGCTGTAAATGGCGTCCAGAATTATTCGACATGAATGTTCAATATTATTAATAGCTGTGTTTCCATCGATTCCTTCATCGGCGTTAATTCTATTTTTTCTTTTTTTGAATTTCCCAAGCAACGTCTTTATCCATTATTACTGTCTTTGCGCTTGGTTCTCTTTATTGTTTTTGTTAAACAATCGCGAGGTGATTACATGCATGCATGTTTCTCAGCACTACCTACCAGCTGCAGAAGTCGGCTTCTGAAATCTTAAAGATTAGATTCTGAAACACTTCCTGTATCATTATTTTAATATCACTTACACCACTGTTTCATTTTTAAGTTCATCTGCTTATTGGTGTTTTGGTGACTTTAGTAACTGTTGATTTGTAATCAGGTCTATTCTTTTAGAACAAACGTGTGCATGTATGATCACTGTAATCTCCATCCCAGACAATAAGTAACGCTCACATCCTATTGGTCTTATATGTTGCTTTCCTGCATCAGTTCATATGGCTCCGTTTTCAAGGCAATGCACAAGGAATCAGGTCAAGTTGTCGCCATTAAACAAGTACCAGTCGATACTGATCTGCAAGAGATAATCAAGGAAATAAGTATGATGCAGCAGTGTGATAGGTAATATCTTAATTTATTATCTTACTTTGTTGTGTAGATTATTAATAATTAGTACTCTACACAACATTAGAAAACATCGGTATGATAATACGTGTGCTGATTGGTTTAAAATCATGTTTCTATATCTGTATAGAAACACGGACCTAGCTCAAGCTGTTGGCGTAATGATGGCGTGAGCAAAGAGAATTTACAATTTGATGATCAAAGTGAACGAGGTGTTTTCTTTCTTTTGTTGTGGTGTTTTCTAAAAGGAGTAGAAAACATGCTCTCGAGTTATAGAGACACTTGTGGAAGTTTGGGAGAACTTGAAATAGCTGTGGAAACCCTTGCCTGTCGGCTTGTGCTCACAGAACATTTCTTGTTCTCCCAAACTCCCACTTGTGTTTCTATAACTAAATAGAAACATGGTACAGGTTTGCTGTTTCTTAAATGATAATAATTAATCTAAATAATAATTATTTGTTAACATATTTTCAGTCACATGGGATTAGTCTAAACAGGCCATGAGACTGAATATACCCCAGCTAAAACTGGAGAATATTCAGCACCACATGTCACTGAACTGGACATTTCATGCTCTTTTTTCAGTCTTAATTGCCACATAGTAGACCTTTCTTGTTGTATTGTGATCCCGTAGGATTAGGGCTAAGATGCTGCATACTGTATATATCTCTTTTTCTGCTCTCTATCAGAAGCCCCTCCCAACAATTAGTGGTATTGTACTCTGGATCAGTTGATGTGATTTTGAGTCTTGGCCAGAGTCACTGTGCTATGTTCTTGGGCAAAACACTTTACTTTCACTAATTTACTCTTAGGAATTGACTTTCGGGAAAAATCTTTTGGGCCAACTTTGTTTTCAGATTTAGTTGCCAGCAAAAGTATTTTGGTGAAAAGCATGGAAAGTTAGTTGCCAGTGAGGGCGAAGGGGTGCGGGGTGGGTGGGGGCTGTTGGATAAAAGAGGGTTAAATTAACCTTGGGTTGGAGCTAATTCCATGGTAAAATTTCTTAACTATAGGTTTTTTTAACCTGAGCTCAGAAATAGACAAGTAGAATTTATGATAATTATTGTACTATAACCATTTTTTGTATTTTTTTTCAGTCCCTATGTTGTCAAGTATTATGGAAGTTATTTCAAGAACACTGATCTTTGGGTATAAGTATATTCTGACATGTAGTTTCCTATCCTGTCAACATAAATTGTTAAATCTGGATCAGTATTCTCATCAGTAGTTTACAACGTAATATTGCTGGAAGTTGCTCAGATATGCACAGAGAAAATCTAAAATGTCAGACGTTCCAAAGAGGTACCAAAACATAATGTAGACTGCAAGTAGTCTCTCTTTTGCTTGAAAATCCATGGGGAAGAATGCAAAGCAAGTGAGCATGGGAGCATGACATGCAAGCCACAAGTAGCCTGAGTGTCGGACTTTCGGTCTTCTGAAACCCTTGCTTCTTGTGGCTTGTGGCATTGCATGTCACGCTGGCGCGCTCACGACCACTTTATGTTCTTCCCGTGCAGAATTTCAAGCAAATGGGAGACTACTCGCAGTCTACAAAGAAGTTACTGACAAAATTTGAAGTTATTTTCTATTTTTTCTATTTTGATTTTGGATTCTTTTTGGAGTAAAAGCATTAAAGACTATTAATTCCAAATTCTAAGTTACCTTCTAATGGCTGTATGAAAACACGTGTAATCCATCAGTTGAAGATATTTGTTATTCTCATTACCTGTCTGCTTGATGGTTTATTAATATTGTAATGAGATTTGAAATGTTCGTCACTTCTGGTACAAATAAAATTATTTGGGTTAATAGCTGTTTGTTATTGACTCACGTGTTTTGCCTTTTGTTCGTCAGATTGTTATGGAGTTCTGTGGTGCAGGATCTGTCTCGGACTTAATGAAAATAAGAAATAAAACTGTGAGTAAATGTTTTTGACACCAAAATAATTGTTCAGTCATGTGCTCTTTCATTTGGTGTTGCACTTTAAGTAGATACCTGTCTTGTTTCATCCTACATACGAGATGGATAATAAGGATGTTTGACAATATTATTGTAAGCTTTCCTCCACTGGCAATTTTATAGAGATTGAATTTTGATTTGATTTTAGAGGGGGGAGAAAGAAAAAGTGTTCTATTTTTTCGGAGCCAGGTGGTGGGGGGGAGGGGGGGATGAGGTGGGTTTGTTCAATCCAGAATCCAGCATCTTATCAGCTGCAGAACAATATTTGTCACTTTATGCCCGTAGGAATAAATTATTATAATTGGAAATAAATCTCTCACTTGTGTGACTTAACATATTTCACTTTTGGGCACTTTCTCCATAAATCCCTAGATGGTATTGGGCCATCTTAACGTATTCTATTCTACTGTAACTGCCATCCTAGACATGTAGTTTTGCCATCCAATTGACCATTCCATATTCCATGCGTCCTAACTGCTCTGCATTTTGTGCTGTTTTTGTTTTGTTTGCTTGCTTTCTCTAAAAATTTGATTTTCGAAAATAAATTCACTGAGTTGTTGTCTTCTGGAATGTTAGTTGATGGAGGAAGAAATAGCATGCATACTGAAATACACCCTCAAGGGTTTGGAATATCTTCATTTGAGAAGAAAAATACACAGGTTGGTTTTAATCAGTAACTGCAGTTGAACCTTCTGTTATTTACAAACACCCCAGGAACCAGAAAAAAAATGTCCATCAAGCAAGGGTGTTTGCTTACAGGAGGTTGAGATTATTATTGTTTGTATGTGGTTGAGACTATTATTAAATGTATGCTTGATATGTGAGGTGACTCCCTGTGGAGTATGCTTGTTAGCATTGCATTGGACTTCTAGCAGCTGGCCTTTTCTCTCAGGGCCAGACGAGTGTTTCTGCATGAATACAAATGCAAAAGAGGGGTATGGATGAAAAGTGGTTGGGACAAGACAAGAAAAATGCCTCTTGAGTGCTGAGCCCTTGTCTTGTCTCAATCCCTTCTAGTCTGAAAGATCTTGCCTCATACATGTACATGTACTCCATGCCTGATTTTGAGAGAACTTTAGACAGGCTGCCAGCAGTCGAAAACTACATTGTACTTTGCAAATGTTAAATAATACAAACCGCTGACACTACCTTCTGCTCAGCGAGACAATTCAGTTAATTATCCACCCACCCCTGGTATACTTGTGTTGGTACAGTGCTTTGTTAATAGCGGAAATCTATGTTGAGAGTTATAGTTGGACTTATCAAGATTCCAAAATGATTTAAAATTAAGCAATTTAAAGGCACTGTCGCTTGTAATTACAGGGATATCAAGGCAGGAAATATCTTGCTTAATGCCGAAGGTCATGCCAAGCTTGCAGACTTTGGAGTTGCTGGTCAGCTAACCGTAAGTGCTATAATTTGTGGAAATAGACCATACGCACTGTACCTAAGTAAATAACTGTATTAAAACAGGCTTTTAGGGGATTGCATGCAGATGCATCATTTCTATGCCTGAGGCAATCAAGGTCAGTAGACAGTTACCAATGGATTCTGAACCCAGTACTCGCTGGACTACAGCTACAATCGTGGTCAAAAGTCTTGGGATAAATTTTCACCTTTTGCACTTTTCTGCACATGCCAGACGTGAATACAACTTCACCTGCTCAACCTCTGCCCCCCATCCCACATACAATATAATGTTGAAAATTAGTAGCTACAATTTCTCCTGATTTTCAACATTGNCTACAAGAAAATCAAAAATCATAGCAGAGATTGTATCTTTTTGGTACAACAAAATAAGACATCATCTACATTGCCAGGCAGGAATTTCAGTCAGTTTTTTAAGTGCATTGAACAGTATTTTTCTGGGAATTTCAAAAGGAAATTGTGGACTGTGTTTTGATGGTAATGCCTTTGTAAACATATTTCTTCAATCTTGGCTGGTATGCCCCATCAGGAAATTCTGTTACCATTTGTTCACTTCTTCCATTCAACTCTCATTTATACAATTGCCTTGTGCAAATGCTTATCTTACAGTGAGGCAATTAATTTGCAGGCACCTTTCTACAGTGTAGGGAAAACCACAATGAGAATTAACCCACCTTTTTATCCAATCAGAAGTAAGACCATTTGACACCAATTGTGACTTTTTCACACATTTTCTAGTGCTTGATGTCAGCTACACTTATTTACCTTAAGTTTTGATTGGTTCATTGGAGCAAGAGAGATAACTTTGGTTTTGGTTTCTACAACACTCAACTGAAAACTGTTCTATACCAACAAGCAAACATGCACATACATGTACACCTGTACCGGTGCTGCATTGCACATCTATAGGTAAAAATAGTTGACCAACCTCTCGTATGTGGATCGTTCTCCCTTTGAATTCAGTACCATGAAGTTCTTTAATTGCTTTCTCTGCATCTTCTCTATGCCGGAATTGAACAACACTTTGGAAAAAAAAAAACAACAACATTATAATTGTATTTTATCTCAAGGACTGAACTGTCATCTATTTCATGATATATTTAACTCTGGTAAATTTATCACACTTCATCATAACCAGAATTTCCAGTTCAATACAATGGATAATGTATTGACCAGGATGGAAGTTCAGAAGTGAGCATATTCAAGTAAAGGATCTGCATTTTAAAATTATCCAGAATAAAACTACTAATATCTAAAATATTTTCTTGACATACATGTATTATTCAGAAATATTTTTCACTTTCCTGAGTAACTTTAATAATTTGTACAGAAGGTGTGCACATACCCGCATCCCTATAAAGAAACAAAAAAACATTAAAATATATTTTACATTATACTGTCATGTAGATTGTCAACACAGAGGCATGCTTAGATAAAAAGAATATGAGAATGTGACCACGTTTGCAGGGAAAATTCATAGCTTGTTAGTTGTTAAGTCATTGTTAGATAGACTGAAATAATTCCAGTCACTTCCAGCCATAAAAACTGGAGATAAGTATTAGCCTGATGGACCACTAGACTCAAATGTAGATGCTACTGTACACTGTACTTCTTCATGCTGATAAATGTACCTTTGATTTTCCTCGACTGTCTACTATGATGTCGACAAATCCCACTTCACCTGCTGTAAGAAAAAATATCAACAACACAACTTAAATTTCCAAGAGTGCAATACAATGGCAAACAAACAGGTAATAGGAATTCTATTCTGACGACATTGCATTTCATATATCTGACTGGCTGTCAGACACATGAAAAGGAATCTACACTAAATGGCTGGCTGAAGTGTTGCAGATATTGACATCACTTGCTTGGATTTGGTCAGCTTCAGTCTTCCACACTTCTCTCTTGAAGGATGAAACAACACTAAGCACACAGTAAGATTACAGATGCCTAATTTCTTATACAGAAAACTGCCTGCCCGGTGGTTGCTTCAACAGTAACACTGACAAGTATTTATTTAATTTTTCTGAAAGTGGCGGTTTTCCAAGCTTTTCTTAAATAGTCTTTAAAGAAGGTTAACAGTGTGTTGCATTAGATACATAATTTATTTACACCAGTACCCATCAAGCATACAAGATTTCAACAAACAACAGGAGACTTCTCTAAACAAAATACTTCAATCAAACAATTAGTTCTTTAAAGCTTATAAAAGGCAGCTTTTTTAAAAGCAGAAGTTCTGCAAAATTCACCAAAATAAGCTTCCACAGATTTAAGTTACCCCGCTATGATGTGTAACATGCAAATTATTTGGGACAATACAACTGAATGTAGAGCTTAAAAGCTTATAAATTTAAATTACGTACATGTAAAGTAGCTACGCTTTGCGGCAACGTCAATTTCCCTCGAATGGCGTGAAAATAGCAAAAAAGTAACAATACCTTTCTTCATGTAGTCCTTTAAATCCTGCCATCTTACTTGGTATGGAAGATTCCAAACGTAAACACGGCATTCTTTACCTCCGCTACCAGATTGTCCTCTCGAACTTGACCTCTCGTCTTGTGAAGGGTATGGAGCGAAGCGTCGACTTTCGCGTCTCAGATCCCGCTCGTATCCACCACCTCTTCTCCGCTGATCTCTATCGTCGTGATCGCTTTCCCTGCTTCCTTCTCTCTCATTTCTCGAGTCGTGATCAACGGGAGAATCATCGCGTCGGCCAGAGTACAATGCCTCCTCATGGTCCGCCATATTTCCTTGTCTCTAGAGCTTGCCTGTGTAACCGCGCTTTCTGTGCAATTTTAACTTATCTCTAGGGTAGCGTAGTTGAGTTGTTGAAAATAATTTTATAAAAAGCCGAAAGGCAACATTTTTTTTTTCATTTACTTATTAAATAGAAAGTACAAGGATCCAACTTTTTTCGAAGTCAGTTATTTCAGGCTCTTTTTGCGTAGAAAGAATCTAAGATATCAGAATGTTTTTTTTTTTAAATTAATCCATTTTGTATTATGGGTGGGGAGGGACGATTTGTGTTTTCCGCGTGACCTACTGCGGGCTCAACCTTCTGATAGTCGCCTTGCAAAACCGAAGGAGAACGAAACAGCCTTTTATTTTGAGGGTTCTAAGACGGCTTGATTTCTTTCTTTCTGATCATGACTTGATCTGCTAAGAAATCTTCTACACGATGTCTGCGAAAGGGTTCGTTATCATGATTCTTTGTAGTGAGATTTTTTGTTATTCTAACTTAGAAGCGATGTCGAAATATTCGAGCTTCTAAAAAAATAGCTTAATTAATAATCTTCTTCTGGCGGAAACTTACGCTGGTTTCTTTCTCTACAAGGAGTGAGCTCCGAAAGTTAAGCGAAGAAAGCTTGACAAGACCAGAATGTTCAATATTATTAATAGCTGTGTTTCCATCGATTCCTTCATCGGCGTTAATTCTATTTTTTCTTTTTTTGAATTTCCCAAGCAACGTCTTTATCCATTATTACTGTCTTTGCGCTTGGTTCTTTTTATTGTTTTTGTTAAACAATCGCGAGGTGATTACATGCATGCATGTTTCTCAGCACTACCTACCAGCTGCAGAAGTCGGCTTCTGAAATCTTAAAGATTAGATTCTGAAACACTTCCTGTATCATTATTTTAATATCACTTACACCACTGTTTCATTTTTAAGTTCATCTGCTTATTGGTGTTTTGGTGACTTTAGTAACTGTTGATTTGTAATCAGGTCTATTCTTTTAGAACAAACGTGTGCATGTATGATCACTGTAATCTCCATCCCAGACAATAAGTAACGCTCACATCCTATTGGTCTTATATGTTGCTTTCCTGCATCAGTTCATATGGCTCCGTTTTCAAGGCAATGCACAAGGAATCAGGTCAAGTTGTCGCCATTAAACAAGTACCAGTCGATACTGATCTGCAAGAGATAATCAAGGAAATAAGTATGATGCAGCAGTGTGATAGGTAATATCTTAATTTATTATCTTACTTTGTTGTGTAGATTATTAATAATTAGTACTCTACACAACATTAGAAAACATCGGTATGATAATACGTGTGCTGATTGGTTTAAAATCATGTTTCTATATCTGTATAGAAACACGGACCTAGCTCAAGCTGTTGGCGTAATGATGGCGTGAGCAAAGAGAATTTACAATTTGATGATCAAAGTGAACGAGGTGTTTTCTTTCTTTTGTTGTGGTGTTTTCTAAAAGGAGTAGAAAACATGCTCTCGAGTTATAGAGACACTTGTGGAAGTTTGGGAGAACTTGAAATAGCTGTGGAAACCCTTGCCTGTCGGCTTGTGCTCACAGAACATTTCTTGCTCTCCCAAACTCCCACTTGTGTTTCTATAACTAAATAGAAACATGGTACAGGTTTGCTGTTTCTTAAATGATAATAATTAATCTAAATAATAATTATTTGTTAACATATTTTCAGTCACATGGGATTAGTCTAAACAGGCCATGAGACTGAATATACCCCAGCTAAAACTGGAGAATATTCAGCACCACATGTCACTGAACTGGACATTTCATGCTCTTTTTTCAGTCTTAATTGCCACATAGTAGACCTTTCTTGTTGTATTGTGATCCCGTAGGATTAGGGCTAAGATGCTGCATACTGTATATATCTCTTTTTCTGCTCTCTATCAGAAGCCCCTCCCAACAATTAGTGGTATTGTACTCTGGATCAGTTGATGTGATTTTGAGTCTTGGCCAGAGTCACTGTGCTATGTTCTTGGGCAAAACACTTTACTTTCACTAATTTACTCTTAGGAATTGACTTTCGGGAAAAATCTTTTGGGCCAACTTTGTTTTCAGATTTAGTTGCCAGCAAAAGTATTTTGGTGAAAAGCATGGAAAGTTAGTTGCCAGTGAGGGCGAAGGGGTGCGGGGTGGGTGGGGGCTGTTGGATAAAAGAGGGTTAAATTAACCTTGGGTTGGAGCTAATTCCATGGTAAAATTTCTTAACTATAGGTTTTTTTAACCTGAGCTCAGAAATAGACAAGTAGAATTTATGATAATTATTGTACTATAACCATTTTTTGTATTTTTTTTCAGTCCCTATGTTGTCAAGTATTATGGAAGTTATTTCAAGAACACTGATCTTTGGGTATAAGTATATTCTGACATGTAGTTTCCTATCCTGTCAACATAAATTGTTAAATCTGGATCAGTATTCTCATCAGTAGTTTACAACGTAATATTGCTGGAAGTTGCTCAGATATGCACAGAGAAAATCTAAAATGTCAGACGTTCCAAAGAGGTACCAAAACATAATGTAGACTGCAAGTAGTCTCTCTTTTGCTTGAAAATCCATGGGGAAGAATGCAAAGCAAGTGAGCATGGGAGCATGACATGCAAGCCACAAGTAGCCTGAGTGTCGGACTTTCGGTCTTCTGAAACCCTTGCTTCTTGTGGCTTGTGGCATTGCATGTCACGCTGGCGCGCTCACGACCACTTTATGTTCTTCCCGTGCAGAATTTCAAGCAAATGGGAGACTACTCGCAGTCTACAAAGAAGTTACTGACAAAATTTGAAGTTATTTTCTATTTTTTCTATTTTGATTTTGGATTCTTTTTGGAGTAAAAGCATTAAAGACTATTAATTCCAAATTCTAAGTTACCTTCTAATGGCTGTATGAAAACACGTGTAATCCATCAGTTGAAGATATTTGTTATTCTCATTACCTGTCTGCTTGATGGTTTATTAATATTGTAATGAGATTTGAAATGTTCGTCACTTCTGGTACAAATAAAATTATTTGGGTTAATAGCTGTTTGTTATTGACTCACGTGTTTTGCCTTTTGTTCGTCAGATTGTTATGGAGTTCTGTGGTGCAGGATCTGTCTCGGACTTAATGAAAATAAGAAATAAAACTGTGAGTAAATGTTTTTGACACCAAAATAATTGTTCAGTCATGTGCTCTTTCATTTGGTGTTGCACTTTAAGTAGATACCTGTCTTGTTTCATCCTACATACGAGATGGATAATAAGGATGTTTGACAATATTATTGTAAGCTTTCCTCCACTGGCAATTTTATAGAGATTGAATTTTGATTTGATTTTAGAGGGGGGAGAAAGAAAAAGTGTTCTATTTTTTCGGAGCCAGGTGGTGGGGGGGAGGGGGGGATGAGGTGGGTTTGTTCAATCCAGAATCCAGCATCTTATCAGCTGCAGAACAATATTTGTCACTTTATGCCCGTAGGAATAAATTATTATAATTGGAAATAAATCTCTCACTTGTGTGACTTAACATATTTCACTTTTGGGCACTTTCTCCATAAATCCCTAGATGGTATTGGGCCATCTTAACGTATTCTATTCTACTGTAACTGCCATCCTAGACATGTAGTTTTGCCATCCAATTGACCATTCCATATTCCATGCGTCCTAACTGCTCTGCATTTTGTGCTGTTTTTGTTTTGTTTGCTTGCTTTCTCTAAAAATTTGATTTTCGAAAATAAATTCACTGAGTTGTTGTCTTCTGGAATGTTAGTTGATGGAGGAAGAAATAGCATGCATACTGAAATACACCCTCAAGGGTTTGGAATATCTTCATTTGAGAAGAAAAATACACAGGTTGGTTTTAATCAGTAACTGCAGTTGAACCTTCTGTTATTTACAAACACCCCAGGAACCAGAAAAAAAATGTCCATCAAGCAAGGGTGTTTGCTTACAGGAGGTTGAGATTATTATTGTTTGTATGTGGTTGAGACTATTATTAAATGTATGCTTGATATGTGAGGTGACTCCCTGTGGAGTATGCTTGTTAGCATTGCATTGGACTTCTAGCAGCTGGCCTTTTCTCTCAGGGCCAGACGAGTGTTTCTGCATGAATACAAATGCAAAAGAGGGGTATGGATGAAAAGTGGTTGGGACAAGACAAGAAAAATGCCTCTTGAGTGCTGAGCCCTTGTCTTGTCTCAATCCCTTCTAGTCTGAAAGATCTTGCCTCATACATGTACATGTACTCCATGCCTGATTTTGAGAGAACTTTAGACAGGCTGCCAGCAGTCGAAAACTACATTGTACTTTGCAAATGTTAAATAATACAAACCGCTGACACTACCTTCTGCTCAGCGAGACAATTCAGTTAATTATCCACCCACCCCTGGTATACTTGTGTTGGTACAGTGCTTTGTTAATAGCGGAAATCTATGTTGAGAGTTATAGTTGGACTTATCAAGATTCCAAAATGATTTAAAATTAAGCAATTTAAAGGCACTGTCGCTTGTAATTACAGGGATATCAAGGCAGGAAATATCTTGCTTAATGCCGAAGGTCATGCCAAGCTTGCAGACTTTGGAGTTGCTGGTCAGCTAACCGTAAGTGCTATAATTTGTGGAAATAGACCATACGCACTGTACCTAAGTAAATAACTGTATTAAAACAGGCTTTTAGGGGATTGCATGCAGATGCATCATTTCTATGCCTGAGGCAATCAAGGTCAGTAGACAGTTACCAATGGATTCTGAACCCAGTACTCGCTGGACTACAGCTACAATCGTGGTCAAAAGTCTTGGGATAAATTTTCACCTTTTGCACTTTTCTGCACATGCCAGACGTGAATACAACTTCACCTGCTCAACCTCTGCCCCCCATCCCACATACAATATAATGTTGAAAATTAGTAGCTACAATTTCTCCTGATTTTCAACATTGCACTGGGTAGAGAGGGGAACAGTGGGTTGCTAAAACCTCAGTTATAAAGCACAGATAATTTGTCACATTACATATGTGTTCCAAGGACTTTTGCCAACGATTGTAGCTAAAGACTTTAATTTGTACCCCTCTAGCCTTTTGGAATATAGATTATAGTTTTCCCAGCTAGTGCAGTGTTATGTTGGAAATTTATTGCACACAGACCTTGCAGACAAACAAAAATGCATGCTGTACACAGATCACATATTAATTATGAAAAATTATATGGGACATGGGCAACTAATTTTTTTTTGTTTGTGTTGTATAGGATACAATGGCAAAAAGAAATACTGTTATAGGGACCCCATTTTGGATGGCTCCTGAAGTAATACAGGTCAGAATTAGACAGTAATATTACTTTTTTTTCTCTTCTCTTCTGTTCTCTTCTCTTCTCTTCTCGTCCCGTCCCGTCTCGTCTCGTCTCGTCTCGTCTCGTCTCGTCTCGTCTCGTCTCGTCTCGTCTCGTCTCGTCTCGTCTCGTCTCGTCTCGTCTCGTCTCTT